AAAAAATTTTCTGTAAATCAACAGTTAGGGTTTAAATTCACTGAAAAGCTATTAAAATAAATAATTCATGAGAAAATGTGACTTCTAAAGAATTCAATTAAACTATTAGATTTGTTTGTAAATTTTATCTGATGTGATTATTTTACTGGCAGGTCAATCAAAATCAACACTAGTTGGTTAATATATTGTTTATTTCTATGTCACAATTGAATTTGGTCGATTAAACTATAAAATTATAGTTTTGTTTTGTTACAGATGGAAAATTAACAAGAAGCTTTATTTAATCGGTAGCTTCAACTATTCGAAAAAAAATTAGAGATTAACTTATGATATAGTACATTACAAGACAGTGCAGCAAAGTTAGGAGATGCAATCACATGTTAGTCGGTGACCAACAATAAGTTCATACGCCATTAGGTTTCATCAGTATCATAGAGTTCATGTGCACCAGCAACTCCGTCTGCAGACCCTCTGTGGCTATAGCCGGTCCAAAGCCCGAATAAAGCAGGAAGGTTGGGCATGAAGTTGGCGACCTCATGTCATAGAAAACTAACTCGCTAAAAAAATAACGCTAGCCAGAAAAAAAATTCACTAGTGATTTGGAATGAGGTTTTTACAACTCCTCTATTTTAATCTTATTTCATATCAACTAACCCGGTTTAAAACGTGGCCGGGTTTTGGCTATCCGCCTTCACAATTCCATAGAACAACATGAGTGTGCCGAAAACAACTGTATTTTATTTTTTACAAAGGATTTCTAACCACAATGAATGTATATATATATTTGATTATAATTCACAAATCAGATTAATAAATTGTTTACTAATAGAGACAAAATTTTAAACAAAATTATTTAGTGTATTCAGTACTTGTTTCGCTGTTATAAATTCTTTAAAACTATAGGATACTTTGTTGCTTACTATTCAAATATAGTACATCATAAAAAAACTCGGCATAAGTGTGGTCGAAAGATAAGTACGCATAGTTTGAATTATTTTAAGTTAAACAAAAGTTATTCGTTTATAAAAATTTCTTCATGACAGTATCATTTTGAAAGAAACTTTTCACTTGGTCAAGTTGACCGACTCACTTTACAAAAGTTAGTTAATTAAGTGTGAATGTAAAAATATATTATTGATTGTTCTGGATAGAAAACACATTGATGAAAAGCACCTAACTGCGTCACAAGATAAGCCCTCACATGGAATTTTCAAGGCCAAATGAAAAGAGGAAGGCCAAGAAACATATTACACCGAGAAATAGATAAAGACATGAGAAGAATGAACAAAAATTTGACAGAACTGGAAAGGAAGACCCAGGACAGAGTAGGTTGGAGAATACTGGTCGGTCGCCTATACTCCACTAGGGGTAACAGGTGTAAGTAAGTAAGAATGTAAAAATAGGCAACATAGAAAATGTACTTGATACCAAACAACTGATAAAATGTAAATTAATATAAATATCTGTATAAGTCTATATACAAACACGATATGCTAAAAGAATCAAATATACATTACCTGATATGTATCATTTTGACATATACGTACAACTTCACCACCAACTGTAGCCAATGGACCAGCATTATTTGCTGTAAGACGAGTAGCAAATTCTAAACCTTTTGTAAGACGTGAACGAATAATCGGTGCAGCGATTACATGAGCTGTATTCATTAATTTTTCCGCTGCTGTTATAATATTTTGTTGATGTTCCAATGATTGAGCGTTACCATCAGCACATTCCTATAATTAATAATAAAATTAGGGCAAGAAAAGAAACAAATAGTAAAGGAAACAAAGATTCTATGATAATAAGACGTCTTAGACTATCGTTTTATGACTGTTTATTCACTGGTAAAAATCTGTTATATAACTCTACTCATGTTTAAGTGAAATGATTCATGTTGTTTTTATAGATACTACCATAAACTTGATAGGTATTAATTGTTTTGAACTAAGATCAGCAATACTTTTGATGTAGTAAGAAAACAGAATATTGCAAAAAACTTAAGAATATGAACAAGTCTACATAAATCATCATTTAGAGAATAATGTAAATGCATTTCAAAAGAATCAGATCTATTGAATAAAGTTTGGCGGGAGTAACTATGACTCTCTTAAGGTAGCCAAATGCCTCGTCATATGAGGGGCGGATTGCCGAATGCCCGAGCTGGCCTCGGATTAGGCAAAGTGCTGTCTTTGGGAGGGTTGTGGTGGCGGCCACCTCTTCGTGGTCCTGCTAGGCAACGTGGCGGTAGATACATCGCTGCGGCTAAATTCGCTCCGAACGCTGGGGGTTCCGATCCTTAAGCGTAGGGAAATCTCCGAAAGGGACGTAGCAGGATGATCGAGGGCGGCCCTGTACTACTGACGCCGACCCTATGTGGTTGTCCCTTCCATGCTTCACTCGATGTTGTGTGTGAACTGGCGTCGAGGCCCCTCAAACAACAACTGTGTAATTTCTTCAAACCTTAATAATCTTCTTCATTACCGCTAATACATCTACTATCTGTCTCTACCACTATGGGATTTGAATTGACAATTGAGTTTTTGAGCTCATATGGTATAGCAACATGAACTGATATACGTACGAAGTTCTACGTTGTAACTGACTGACTTGACTGCGATAAAATGTATTGTATGACGGTAAAAGATATGCATAGTTTACAGATATCTGATAATGTCTTCAAAGTGTTACTCGCTTAACATTGAAAAACCAAGTGAATGATGTTGATGTGAGTTGTAAAGTACTAACGAATTATGGATGACAAATCGGTTGATAAAATTGTACATCTTCGTTATGTGAGATGGTTGAGATGTGTATTAAGTGGGTTTAACACCCAACCTGATGATCAATGTTTTTTGATGGATAAGGGAATTCCAAGACTTCGTGTCAATTCATAAAATCATTGAGTGTTAATCTAACTCTGGTAGGTCAATCTCCATTGCCTAGTTATGATTCGCTAAAAGACCTCGCTTAGAGTTTTGAGTGATTGTGTGACACAGCTCTGAATCGATCATAGTAATGCAATGGCATGTACTCTTTACCGTTCTCTTGATATCCAATTTCAGTTACACTTCAGGTATATCTTTTCATTCATTCTTCTCAAACCATATACTCAGTGTTCAGTATATCATAATTCCTGGTACATCGTTTCGATTCCCTTGTCATTCAATCTTGTCTATTTTATAATGTCGTTCTAATCAAATGTGACAAATCGGGCCATATATATATATATATATATATATATATATATCAGCCTCTATGCTGATTAAGACTATAGATAAATAGAAAGCTTTAAACAGCTCATATTCCGGCTTATGGTAGACAATTCTGTTAGACACAGCTTTACTGTTCTGATGTAATTACGTGCCAGTGGACATGCACACGGACCAATGTGATTAGAGTTAATGCTACTTCCTTGAACCGTAAGCCACTAATACAGAGAAAATAATTTTGTCTCATTCTAGTTAAAATCCTTGATATGATAGACTATCTAGTTTAACCCTGGGAGTAGTAGTACATTAGTTCTATAATGATTTAACAGACTTGGCAGATGGGAGAAAACTGTTCTATCACTGGACAGGCTAGATGCATTTTAAGAGGATCGCATTTACTGAGCTGAGTGAAATTCAATCAACTTTTTCGTTTGGTTTGAAAATACAAATGAAACATGTTACGACTGTTGAAATGCCCTATTTGTTTGTAAATTAACTGAGCAGCAAGCTAGCGATTTAAGCACTTTATGCCTATTGCTCCTCTTGAAGCCTCTCTGGGGTTACTGCCGGTCCCAATCTCGGATAAAAGAGGAGGATTGGACATAGGGTTATCGACCCCGTCCCGTAGAAACCTAACTTGCTAGAAAAAACGCTAACCAGGAAAAAAAATAATAGGGCCATTACCGATCGAACAAAAACGTTGGCCTAAATTATAAGTGCATTACTTTGTACTTTTTTAAAACATAATACATGTCCTAATTATTGAACAAATCAATTTCAAAAATTTGAACTCAAAAAATGTTACACATGTCATTGACATATACCTGAGCAATTAATAATAATTGATAAATTTCTTTTTCTAATAGATCAGCACGTTTAGTGATTTCATTCGATGATATTTCCAGAGTTGAATTCGGTTTCATTGCTTCTGTGCGTAAATCTGTCACTAAACATTCTACAGCAGAGGCTAATGCATTCGCTTTACGTACCAGGAGAAGACCATCACCAACACTACCAGGTAATTGATGACTAACTGATAGAAGATTGATAATTACAGGATCTTGATGAGCCTTAAAACAACAATAATTATTATTATTGATTATTATTTATGATTATTATGATAATAATTGATATGATTCATAAAAACAATGAACGAAAGTGTATGTCAATAAATTGAAATGTCAAACGAGTTACCAGGCATTGAATCTGGCATAGTAAGAACGAGCAGTAGTAGGTGTAGTAGTCGTCATCATCAACTGATGAGATCTACTAACAGTTGCATAATCTCCAAAGTGAAAATACTTATCATCAATGCTATAGATAAATTGAATCTTTTTTTGTTACCAGAAGATATTTCAAGAGATTCATTGGCTAGACACTATCAGCAACAACCTACTGTGGGAAAGAACAAACGCTTACGCTCAGTTTATGAATCCATCAGCTCCTAACTTATGGAAATCGATACATCTATCTAGGAGGGCGATACAATCAATCGGTTGAATTTCATTTCTTATGGACTTAATCAAGTAGATATTGATGACTAACAATAATCAAATACCGATCATTAATATATATGGTAAACAGATTAAACAAATGTTAACATTGACTGACGATTTCTAAAAACACTCTATAACGTTCAGTATCAGCCCAAGGGTCAGAGACCTTCTAATGTGTACTAATATGTCGAGAGCACATGGCTTGTCTTAGCTTATGGACAAATTAATTAGTCCATTCTTCTTGAATCATTATTTACACCTCATTTGACTCTGTCAATCATTCTGCTTGAGTATGAGTGTGCATGCTTACTTTGTTTATTACATATCTAGCCTATTTATCGCCTGATTATATATACTTAGTCATGCTTCATCGCAGTGAGTTGGCTCGCTCACCTTCTCCACTTTGATTCACTTTACTTGCGTGTACGCTTTTCGTTCTCACGTCCGTTTGCTTAAATGAATGCATGAAATATACTCATCCAACTGAAACTGTATTTGGCTTTTTAATACCGCCACCGGGGTTCGCCCAAGTATGATATTCGGAAATGAAAGGAAAGATTTATTTCATAGCATATTCAACTGTTCGTTCAACCTGGAGTCAGATAGAGTGGGCCACTAAAATGATAGAACCCTACTTTGAATCTAACGCAACCACTAAAACCGTAATGAGTCTAAGTATATACAATAAACAAAATTTATATTAGATTTGCTATAAAAAAAAAAGAACAACAACTCACTTGTATTGAAGTTCCTATAAGACAATCTAATAAATTATCTAATTCATTATGTACAGAATAAACACCTTCTTCTAAATCATTCACTAATTTACAATGGACATTGTACATTTCTTGATTATTTGTTAAAAATGCTGTAGCTGCTCCAGTTGATGATGATGATGATGAATCTAACAAACCTTTAGCTGGTGATGGTACAGAGTCTGCAGCTAATGCAACCTGTAAACAAAAGTAAACAAATAAAATAACTAGTAAGGTAAATACATTAGGTTAGTGTCTCCTGATTACTACTCTACGCAACAACGTAAGCATGTTAAGGATGCGATTCTCACGCTCAAAATGCAAAATGCTTATTTAGGATTAGGTTGTATCAGCACCTGATAGGGAGTGAAACAATTGAGCGTGTTGACCGCTTCACTTATCTGGGGAGTCTCATCTGTGCTGATGGCCTGGTGTGTGACGAAATCTCAGGACGGATACAGAAGGCTCGATTAGCTTTTGCCAATTTACGCCGTTTATGGCGTAGGCGAGATATCCGTTTGCTGACTCAAGGACGAGTGTACTGCGCAGTAATTCGCTCCGTTCTACTATACGGATGCGAAACATGGCCGTTAAGGGTAGAGGACATTCGTAGGTTACTAGTCTTCGATCATAGGTGTCTCCGAAGCATTGCTCGTGTATCCTGGGACGACCGAGTAAGCAATGCTGTCGTTAGGAAACGAGTTCTAGGTAAGGATGGCAAATCAGTAGATGAAGCATTGAAACTTCATCATTTGAGGTGGTTGGGACGTGTGTTACGGATACAGAAGGCTCGATTGGCTTTTGCCAACCTGCGTCACTTATGACGTAGACCAGATATCCGTTTGTTGACTAGAGGATGAGTGTACTGCGCAGTAGTTCGCTCTGTCCTACTTTATGACTGTGAAACATGGCCAGTCAGAGTTGAGGATATTCGTAAGTCTTTTTAAGTTTATTTCACTAGATTCTTCTTCTTCTTAAATAATATCTTCGAACCGTAATCTCGCCGATTACTGCTAATACTTTTACTACCTCTACTACTATGAGATGTGAATTGATAATTGCATCTCTGTGCTAATGTAGTATGGCAACTTGAACTGATGTACATACGTACGAAGTTCTACGTTGCTGTTGTTGTTGTAAATACATTGTGTTGGGAAAAGATTAACCCTTCGCATAAATAACAATTTTCACTATGAAGCATTTTGATTGTATGAGTGGTAGTCACATCTAAGAAAATATTGAAAAATGTCGACTGTTTATAAAGAAAGAAACGTAAACTACTTAAGTTTAAAATATGTGTACATGGATTTAATTTATATCAGAGAAAGATAAACATCCTAGATTTCATAACAAGTTATATATATTATCTAGTTTCTGATGAGCTTCGTCAACGTGCGAAACACAATACGTTATTCATGATATATTCGAGAATAGATGAAAGAGCACTGACTAGACTCAGCTTATGTTTGTGCAAACATTGAGCTAGTTTATAAACTGCAATATATCCAATAGGTTGAGACATAATTTTCAAAGATTAACTAAAAGGCATTTTTTTTAACTATACAGTGTGAACCGGTTGAGAGTTTGTATTAAAACTACTACCCAATCTTTCACGTAGATAAAAACAAAATTCATGGAGAAGATAAATGTGGATTAACTTGTTCTAAATAATTCATAATTCAATTATATAAATTCACCCTCAATTGGGAAGAGTAATTTTACATCGGTTTTCAGAAGAATCAGACACTACAACGTGAACAGTACAATTCAATCTTGTGGCGCAACCACACAGGTACCTGACACCCTAGTGCAAAGACCTTCTAATTACTAAAGCTGAAAAGTTCATATTCATTTCAACAGTTGAATGTTAGCTTTCAATCAGTTACTTATGTACAAAGAGGTGACAATGCAACGACAGTGAATAGGAACTATTTTGAAGAGTCTAGAAATATACAGCATTGTTATAAAAATTTTATCCATTAAAGTAGTTATTTAAACACAATAATAATAATCATAATAATATACCTCTCTTATTGTTTGCATTAATTGTTGTTGTGATTCTGGTTGTTCCATAGTACATGCAACTATTTTAGCACAAGTCACTAATTGACTTGCTGTTTTACCAGCTAATGTTGCTGAATGTACTAAATTTGTTTGAGCATTACGTAATACTTGTATTTCAATATCATTTGGATTAGATTTATTGGCCATTAAGTATTGATTCACTTCTTCATCAAGAATTAATGCACCCATTTTAGCTTTTTTCACTAAACCTGTCATTGCATTAGCAACACTCTAAGATTTAAAAAGAAAGAAAGGAATAGTCACTTTTAAAATTAAACCATAAAATAACTGCTCAAGGTTCAATATACCAAAATATAAATGAGAATATTAAAATTCATGTTGAGTATAAACTATAATCACCTATTAGTATGGTGTTACGGTCTAACAATTTACAATACATAATCCTTAGTGTTTGAGTTACACCTAATGGATGTTTTAAACAGTTTGCTTTGTTCAACAATGGATCGTAGTATTTGTCAAGTATAGAACCAAACTTGAAGTGTATGCCTCATTATTAAACTCTATTATTAAACAACTAAAGTCAACTGCTTCACTGACTATTGGAATGCTTTAATTAACCTGATGAAATGTATTAATTTCGAATCTTTCATTTGACACTAATCACTTTAGTTCTTTTTAAGGTAATATAGAAATACGATACTTCAGTAACACACTGCATGTCGATTGGAAAAAAACTTATAAATAACTTTTCAGATAGTTTAATCCTAACAAAACGATAACATTGAATTTCCTGAATATCATCCATGAAACTTAACAAGAAGATACGAGAAAAGATTACCGCTTGAAATTCAGCTATAAGGCAATTAAATAACATCACAAGATACATATCCTTGATAATAGATAACCAAAACAATGTTATTATATCATCAGTTTCTTCAGTATTCTGAAGTTCATATTGTTGGGGACTAAATCATAAGAACAAGATTTCTGAATACACAAAACACCGGAAACTATATATTTAACCACATCTAAAAAAGGCTACACTACACTACAGATAAAATACAATTAAGAATAAATCATTGGGAAATAGGTCAACTATGCTTAGTCCACAGAAATTAATTTTTTTTTCTTTAATTAATAATTGTAAGAAACAGATGATGTTTCACAAGCATTTTTATGGAACAGAATGCGTAGTGAACTGTTAAAAAGAAATGAGGTTTTACAAATAATACACAATTGAAGCATATTTAGGAAGCAATTTAGTATGGTTAAGAAAAAACTACAAAAGACCAATGAGAAATAATTGAAATTATTAAATTAAAATTAAATTTAATTGTGAAATAAATTGATGCACGAAAACACAATAGCCAAGAAAATGTAGAGCATAGATAAAATGTTATCTATTTTTGACAGATTACTTATAAGTAGTCTCATCAAAGCAATATTTGTTTCATAGCCTCATAACGACAGAAATCATTTACTAGTTCATACATAGACTTTATTCACAACTGATCTTTCTACGAATCACTAAATATAACAAGGAAGCTTATGAGTAACAATTAACATGAGATGAATAACACTTCGACATACGTAATACGCAATGGAAATTAGATCCCCACGTCAAATGTTAAAAAGCACCTATACAATAAATCTCTTGGACAATAAACTGAAGAGAGAACCATAATTATCAGTCCACTAACAAATAAATATGATTCATGATAAGTTTAACATATTTTTACTTTAGATAATAATTTTTTCAAAAGAATTAATAGATAGTAAGTTTATTTTTTATCTAACATGTCATCTACAATAGTTAAGAAATTTCAACTGGTTTAACTGTTTCACAAATTTTTTAAATCATAAATCGTTCAATGTTAGACCACCATAAGAAACCTAGAAGCACTGAACGGCCGTTTCATCCTGATATGGAACTTAAATTTCTAATGGTGATCTAACATTGAACGATTCATGATTTCAAAATGTAACTCAACAATCTCTACAACCCCATCATGCTTTATTATTGTTTACGCATGTTACTTCACTTTAAATTGTATTATGTCTTTAATGTATTATCTGTATTGCAAACTAAAAAGCCAGATGAAATAATGAGATTTTTAATTAATTTTTTTTGTTTTAATGAGTAGGTTGGAAGCGTTGAATCTTGATAGCATTGAATCCATTTAGAACAACATTTCAACACATTCAATAATCAATGATTTATGCAGGAAATATTTGTAGAAATAAACAAAACAATGAGGGAAAAACACAAATAATTTAGGTGAAATATTAATTTTTCATTTATTAACTTAAAAATTGGTTTAAATAATTTAAGATAGCTTACTTTAGTTAATGTCAATAAACGATCTCTGGATTCCCAATCAATTATTGATGTACTTTGTAGATGATTATTCTCTTTAGTATTGGCATCATTTTCATTATTCATATGTTCAAATATTGTTGGCGGTGAAATTAACTGTAACAATTGACGACTAGCATCACCAACACGACTAGCAGCTTCTAGTAAAGCTGCACGATCAGGACTACTTTTAGAATCAAACAGTGAACTTGTTGAACGTGTTAGTGTAGAAGTCTTGTTAAAAAAAGAAATTTTAAGAAATGATTAAAAGCCAATCATTTAACAAAACAAAGATGGTATGTATAAACAAAAACAGTGAAATATTCAATTTCAATGAGAAAGTTATGTTTGTGAATTGATAAAGTTTCTTTTTTCATCCATGAAGATATACACAGTTGACTTAAAACTAATAAACTGGCCATTACTGAAGTTATCTAGTTTTTGACAGTGGAGATTCTATGGTCTTAATCCACGAGAACTTTAGGTTAATATTCTCCTACTGATAATCATAGATTATAACTAGTTTGTTAACCATACTTTTAATTATATAGAGTCGTGAAGATTGTTGAATTATACTGAAATCATGAATCAATCATTGTTAGAGCACCATTAGAAACCTGGAAGCAGAGGATGGTCGTTTCGTTTTAGTATGGAACTCTCAAGTAGTGCGAATCCATTACCCTTGCACGTGAACGCCTAACCTCCTCTTGACCAAGGAAGCGGCATCCAGCAGTGTTAATGTCTAACTTTTAACCAATCTAAGGTATTGCGCAACCTCATCCATTGGCAGTTACTGCCTACACCCGGCAGGGTTAAACTCCTCTGGTCACCGCTTTTCACCAGAAATCCAGGAATTTCGTAAGGAAGGTAATCACTAGTGAGTAGATTTTATGATTTTTATTATAAAGTTCTGGAGATTGTTGAGTTTCATTGAAATCATGAATGGATTATCGATGAGTCCCGTAACAGGACGAAACAGCCATTCAGTGCTTACAGATTGCTAATGGTGGTCTAACAATGATCCATTCATCATTTCATCAGAAACCATACTTTCGCTGAAAACTAAGCTTTAATCATTAGGCAATAAGCATTAAAAAGAAAAGATTTTCGATTTCAGGATTCGAGGAACATTTGATTTTATTTAGGCACTGACAGAACAATGTACGTCAGACAGTTAATAGACAGTATGTTTGTATATTTACTATTCAACAGATATCATTTAATTCCAAAGCATATAAAAACAATTAATTCATTAAAATAATTCTAATAATAATAATAATAATCCTAATACAAATGATCAACTTACTTTATCTGATGAATTATCTAATGATACAGATGAAAATGTAGTACGCATTAATTCAAGAAATGCATCGGATAAATTTTGTGCAGCTTGTTTTAAACTTATCTTATCTACCATTGAAGTTGATTCATTATTATTATGACTGTTGACAGTGTCAAGTTGATCATATAAACGTACACAATGCATAAGACCTTGTACATTAATACCAATCGATGTCATTGAAGCATCCATATTAGCATAGTCAATTTCAGCATGATTATTTATGTCTAAAAATGAAAAAAAATAAAATAAAATAAAATGAGTTAAAAGATGAAAACAATAGATTACTGCTGTTTCGCCACGATTATTTGGTTTGAAAAAAAAAAACAAACAACATATTTCATAAGCATAACAAATAGAAAATCAGTTCGATTATATAATATTTTATTAAGAATTTTTATGAAATAGACACCATTTAATGCCTGTTGACATCATTAAAGCATTGATTCTATAATGTACTATGAATGTAAAACAAAATCTTAAATTCATTCATGAAATATATAGACAGGTAGATGGTGAAGCGCGATGGTGTTCACCAGTAAGTACCATATTGGAGATGACATTTTACTCGGTAAACTAGAAAACGATCCACTGTCACAGTATATTGGGCAAGTTTTCATTTTACTGTTGATATACGAACGATACTTTCATTTTCAATTAGAGTTATGGAGATTAGTGTTTTTACACATTTGAAATAATCAATCAATCAATCAATGTTAGACCAACATTAGAAACCTGGAAGCACTGGACGGCCGTTTCGCCCTGGTATGGGTGCGTATCAACGAATCCTGCTCTTCGAAGGATCCGAACCCGGGACCTTCGGTTTGTGCGCGAACGCCTAACCATTGGACCACTGGGCCAGCACCCAGCGGTGCTAATGTCTAACTCTGATTGATCTAGGGATTCTGCGCGACCTCACCCATTTGTCTTCGGTAGTTACTGCTTACACCCGACAGGATTGAACCCCACTAGTCACCGGGTTCGAATCCTGTGAGGTGCAGGAATCGCTGATGCTCACTGCTGATGAGTCCTATACTAGGACGAAACGGCCGTCCAGTGGTTCCAGCTTTCTAATGGTGATCTAACAAAGATTGATTGATGATTTGAGATACTTTCATTGTCTGTAAAGACTATATTGAACAAGTAGAGATACTTAAGAAATGTAATGCAATGTATTGCTCAGATGCGGTTACAGAAGAATCATGTACATTAGATACAACCCTGAAAGAAAATGCATATCCGGAAAAGTATCTAACCATGAAAAATGGGCAAAAGGAAGTCATAACTGCAACCAAACAATCTCTCTATGTATTTGCCTACAATTTAAAAGTGATACAACCTAGTGAAATGCTAATATTAAAACTGACAAGAGCAATTCAAAGAATCTTTAATGCGAGTAAACTACAAGTAATGTTTTCCACACATCTGATGATCGTCCAGAGATTAAAAGGTAAATAAGCTAAACTAAGTACCTCTTTCTGTATCTATCAGTTCAACTGCTTCTGTGGAGAAAATTATATTGACAGTGGTTCTAGAAACTTATATTTTCGGTTTAGCGAGCACCTTCCAGTGTGGTCAAGCAAAGGTATAGTTAAATATATCATTGTAAGACCACTAATAGAAACTTGGAAGCACTGGACGGCTGTTTCGTCCTGGTATGGGACTCATCAACAGTGCATATCCACGAATCCAGTACCTCACAGGATTCGAACCCAGGACCTTCGGGCTTGTGCACGAACTCCTATCCTCTGGATGATGATTTCAATGTG